GGAATCAAACCTGCGACTCTTCAGTCCACAAGCCGATGCTCTAACTGCTGAGCCAAACTGGCCAGGGCTCACTTAATTTTTATCTGCCACATATGGGTGTGGGACCAGCCTGTTCACGTCTTTGCCTCTCCTACCAGTCTCAATGTGGCTGCTTCTTCATATCCTTAGCTGTAGGATATGTTCTGCTTGATTTCAGGTGGTTCTGAATGGTGGCAGTTCTGTAGTTGTAATTTTGATGTGGTTGTGGGAGGAGGCAAGTACCGCATTTACTGAAGCCTGTACCACAGCTTTTTTATCCACTCATCTATTGATGGGCACTTGGGCTGCTTCTATATCTTGGCTATTGTAAATAATGCTGCTAGGAACATAGGGGTGCATATATTCTTTTGAATTCATGTTTTGGGTTTCTTTGGCTATATACCCAGAAGTGGAGTCACTGGGTCATAAGGCAGTTCCATTTTTTAAATTTTTTGAGGAACCTCATGCTGTTTTCCATAGTGGCTGCACCAGTCTGTATTCCCACCAGCAGTGCACAAGTGTTCCCTTTTCTCCACACCCTCACCAGCACTTGTTGTGTGTGAATTTGTTGATGGTAGCCATTCTGACAGGTATGAGGTAATAGCTCATTGTGGTTTTCAATTGCATCTCTCTCATGATTAGTGAGCATCTTTTCATATGTCTGTCCTCTTTGGAGAAGTGTCTGTTTGGGTCTTCTGCTCATGTTTTATAACTGGATGGGCTTTTTTGGAGCGTGTTGAGTTGTATGAATTCTTTACAAACTTTGGATATTAACACCTTTACCTTTTCCCTTGGATACAGTTTTTTCTGTGTAGCCTCCAGTTTTTTTTCATTCTTACAGACTTATCTAAAAATAAAAGATTTTATATCCTATGTAGAGTTCTCTTGGTACATATTAGATGTTTTAATACATGATATTTGGAGCAATGACTGTACAAAATAGAGACTATATTAAATCTTGAACATGAAAAACCTGGACAGTTTTTCCCATTGACTTTTCTTAAATGTACCCTTAGATAGAAAATTCATGTTCCATTTGTGTCTTATTTTAGAAAGTAAAAAAATATCTATTAAGAGTCCACTACATAAAAGCCACTGGATCCAGGATTAGGGAAGAGTTGTGGACCAAACATTTGATATGGTTTTAAAAGGAAGGAAAGTCATGTAAACTATAATGTTCCCAAAGAAAAGTACAAGTAATTGAGCAAGTCTGCAGAAGTCTCCGAGAGAACGTTGATTGAACTGAAAAAACAAAACCAACGCAGTAAAACTATCAAAGGTATTTTAATTTTCCTGAGATTCGGAGTAAAAAGGTTGAATTCAGAAGGCTGTTTATATAACTAATCATACCTTTTGGTACAAGATAGACTAAACATTTAGAGTAGTCCTGGAGCTCCATTAAAATGATGATCATGAAACACAAAGAAAAATAGCAAAGAAACCGGAGGTTCGCCCGCGGACCTCTGATCTCGCCCCCTGCCAGAGGGTAAGCAGATGGAAGTATGCTGAGGAAGGGGACAGAGCAGAACGCCACAAAGGAGGCAGCAACAGAGACGGCATCTATTGCCAGAGGTACCCTGGAGGGGCTCTGGGAGCAGAGCCAGGAGCTGCCAAGGACTGAGATGGGAAGCGAAAAGGTAGGGGTTAGTTCAAAGGTGGTGTAAGGTAGAGCATGGAGGGATGATGGGGAGCCCTGGACTCTTCTGCCTGTGCTTCCCCTGGACAGAAATCCAAACCAGAGTACTGTCTTCAAGGACAACCTCGGAAAAAAACCTGGGCTGTTCGTGTAAGTGTTGTTAGCCCAAAGTAAAGCCCTCTTTTTTTTTTTTTTTTATCCTCACCCGAGGACATTTTTCCATTTTTTTTTTTTTTGTACAGATAGAGTGGGAGGGAGAGAGAGGAAGAGAGAGAGAGGGAAACATCGATGTGAAAGGGACACATCGAGTGGCTGCCACCCGCACGACCAACCAGGGCCGGGGACAAACTGCAACCGAGGTACATGCCCTTAGCGGGAACCGAACCCGGGTCTCTCCGGACCGCAGGCGGACGCTCTAACCGCTGAGCCATACCGGCCAGGGCAGTAAAGCCCTCTTCATTCAGGCATTTGGAGGACCCTCCGGTCAGAGGCCAACTCTCTGCTCATCCTAAAGCCGGTTGAAAGTCCTGACCAGGGACACAGTGCTCCAAGTCAGCCTTCCCATTTAGGGGAGGGCCCTGGGCAGAAGTGAACACCAGTGACCTCAAATGATGAATCCAGTCCCTCGTTCTTCAACAAGAATATTACAACCAAAGTGTATCAGACCGCAGGTGAAAACCAGCAGCGTGAACGAAAACGTGACAGGCCTTAAATTGATCAGCTTTACTGTCATGGCCAGAAGGCCACCCCCCCTTTCCACATTCTGAGAGAAAATAATTTTGAATCAAGAAATTTATACCCAGCCAAACCTTGAATCAAGGGAATCAGAGAAATAAAGGGTTGAGAACTAGATCTCCCGTGCACACCTTTTTGAGGTAGGTTACCTGACAAACTTAATGGTGTGTTTAATAGAGATAGAAGATAGCGAAAACATTCTAGAACTTCAATCAACAGTAATTTGAGTCGGCTGGTGCCGGTTCAATGCCCGGTCAGGACACATGCCCAGGTTGTGGGCCTGATCCTCAGTGGGGAGCATGCAGGAGGCGGCCACTTGATGTTCTCTCTCACTGATGTTTCTCTCTCTCTCTCTCCCCCTCTCACTTCCTCTCTCTCTCTCTAAAATCAATAAAGGAAAAAAAATTAAAATAATTCTTAGAAAAAAAACAGTGATTTGAGGATGGTAGCTATGCAGCATGTTTGGAAAGCAGTTGAGTCTAATTTGAAAAGTCTTTAACAATGAGTGAACACCATGCAATAGAATAAGAAGCTGGAAAATCTTAGTGATATGGGGAGCAAAGCATGTGTTTCTTGTCCAGTTACCCAAGAGGAAGGATAGTTAGAAGCTCCAGGAAATACAGTGATACCTCGGTTCTCGAACGCCTCGGTTTTCGACCAAATCGGTATTCGACCAGGAGATTCGAGAAACTTTTGTCTTGGAATCCGAACAAATATTTGGAACTCGAACTTCCAAGATGAGCCGAGTTGAGCCGAATGGCGTTCATTCGGCCCAGCGCGCCTTGCTTGCGCCATCAGTGTGAGTGCAGAGAGAGAGTCACGCTTTGTGGAGAGAGTCACGCTTTCCTATTGGGTTTCATTGCTTTGGTTCTCGAACAATTCGGTTCTTGACCGTCCTCCTGGAACGAATTATGTTCGAGAACCGAGGTATCACTGGAAACTGTATCAGAAAGTCATGGTCCAAATATTTGACAACTTAAAAGGGTAGTCTGCTTTTGAGCAGTTGGAGGTTGATAAGGAGAATCCATTTAACCTTAAGACTGACAGCGTTGTTCTTTTTTTTATCTTCACCCAAGGACAATTTTTTTTTCATTTATCTTCAGATAGAGCTGGAGGGAGAGAGAGAAACATCGATGTGAGAGAGCCACATTGACTGGCTGCCACCCACATGACCCCAACCGGGGCTGGGGACAAACTGAAACTGAGGCACATGCCCTTAGTGGGAACCGAGCCCGGGACTCTCTGATCCACAGGCCGGTGCTCTAACTGCTGAGCCAAACCAGCCAGGCAAGAGCGTTCTTCTTCAAGTGATGCATGAATCATGTCATTGGACTAGAGGGAGGAAGCGTTGTGGCTGCTTTGCAGTGATCAGTATTTTCCTACTTAGGATGTTACCAACATCAAAACTAGAATCTGTAGTCAGAGTACAGAAGAGTTCATTAGGGTCACAATATAGAATGTAAATATTATCAACCAAAAGACTAGAGCAAAAATAGTAATGAGTGGCTGCCTCTGGGTGCAGATGGTGGGGTGAGATGGGAAAGGGTGAAGGGACTTGTTCTTTTCTTCTTTGTAACAAATTTTGAAATCTTTTGTATATATTACCTTAATAATTTCAAATATAACCAATCCTCAAAGAGTTCAGATTTTAGAATCAAAAGCTCTTGGTTCAGGTGTCCAATTTCAGCACCTCTTCTGTTATGGTGGGCAATCACGTAGCCTGTGCAAAGCCTGTGTCCTCACCCGTAAAAATGCCACCCACCCCATGAGCCACACAATATTGTCACGAGGATTCAGTCAGATAATGTATATTCCAGCTCTTTGTAAACTGCTAAGAACCAAACTAACGTTCTCTGTACTTTATACTATTCATTGTGTAGAGGAAGCAGTTAGGTTGAAATTGTAACACAGGTATGTCTGTGTTCTACTTGAGGAAGTTCACATAGTTTCAGTTTCTTAAGTGATTTCGGGTCACGAGGACTATGTTTTCTAGCATCTACTCTAGCTCATGCTGTTCTTAGTGCATGACATGGAATTTGGGATTTCTTAGATTTCCCCAGAAAATCCCTCATGCAAGGAGAAGGGACTGTAGGTCTCTGTCTGCTAGCTGCTGGTAGAAAAAGGTTATGTGAATCTTACATTCTACTCTATAATATGCCTTGTTTATCGTAATTTAACATCACAGTTTAGTCCACATCACCAAAAAGATGTGCCCCTTTTCCTCTGTGGCTTCACATTCCCCCCGCTGATGACTGGCGTCAGTGGGTGGGTGTCTCCCAGTGTGAAGAACACCGAGCGATACTCAGATTGGGCTTATGTAATGCTCAGAACATTATGGCATAGGTGATTATATTCTAATTTCGCTCAACTAAGTTCGAAAGCAATTGAGTACTTTGCCCAGGATCACATAGCTGGGAAGTAAAGGAACTGGATTTTACCTCAAATTTGTTGGACTTCCAAAGCATTTGCCCAGCCCTGCCTTGAGAGGTGAAAACCTAAGTTAGCCTTTTGTGCAATCCCTTTTTGTGTCCTCAGAAAATAGAATGTAAACGTTTTTTACGTTCTTCTAGTTTGGGTCCTTATTCATTGATGGTTTTGTCTCTGTTTTCAGCCAAAGCTCCAGGCAAACCTATTCAGGTAGTTTATGTGCCCTCCCATCTGTTTCACATGCTATTTGAGTTGTTCAAGGTAAGTGGAATTTAACAACATGGGAAGAAGTCTTCATTTTAAATTACTTTGATTCAGGGCATAATGGATTCATTAGATTTGCATAAGAAAAAGGTTTTGCATAACCATTTTAAAAATTCTATTTCTGATATCCTGTGGGTTTTATAATTTGTACACTGTGAGATGAAAAATTGCTGTGTACAGTGTAGTTTTCGTGAATATTAGTACATATTGATTTTGAGGCTTAATTGTACTTTAGTGATTTTATGTAAAATCCACAGTTTTTTCTTCAGTTAGATTAGATATGCTTTTTCATTTCCAAACCTGGCAAAGGCTTTACTGATGGTAGCCAGGTCCAAATAACAATATTTTATGCATTTTTATGCCTCTGAACATTAACTGTGCTGGTGCATCAGTAGTTGTTCTAGTCCTGAGAGCTATTGCAACCCTTTTACATATTTGAGTCAGTTCAGAAGATCTGACGGATGCAGAGGAGAAAGATGGGGAAGGGCTAAACCAAAAAGGAACCCCCTCCCCCAAAAAAGAGTCTTTAGACTCTCCGGCTTAAGCTGTTGCTTTTGTTAACCGGTAGCCAATGGCCTTTATAGTAGCAGTGTTACAGGCACAAGGCATTTGAGCTAAAATTTTATTTCTTCCAATATGTGTGAAACCCTACATAGAACGCCCCAAAATCAGTTATGTTGATTTACTTCCCAAAACTACACTGTTACTGATGTAACACTCGAAGGTCGAGATGGGCATTCGGTTGTGAACCTTGTCTTCAACAGCTGTGGCTTTTTCAGAACTTTTTTTTTTTTTTTTTTTTTTACCCCCTACCTGCCTGATATCAGTGTTGAATTTCTTATTGTTGTTTCTAACTGGAAAGCTACTAAAATGTGCTTTGGGATTATTGTGTATCCATTTTTCTTTGAGTTTCAGAGAACACTGCTTGTAATTTATGGTGAAGACAAGCACCGTCTCCATAAGCCACTGAGCCACGCCACCCTTCCCACCCCCATGATGCACACCCACTGATAAAGAGGGGCAGCAGGATGATGGGAAGGGAAATAATATTCTAGCAAACCCTACCCCTTTTCCCCAGTTTTCAGAACTTCTCTTTTTGTTGTTGTTAATCCTCACTTGAGGATACTTTCCCATTGATATTTTTAGATAGAGTGGAAGGGAGGGAGGGAGGGGGAGAGAGAGAGAGAGAGAGAGAAACATCAATGTGAGAGAGAGGGACACATCAACCAGCTGCCTCTTGCAAGACCCCTCGGGATCAGGGATTGAACCTGCAACCCAGGCACATGCCGCCCCTGACTTGGAATCAAACCTGAGACCCCTCAGTCTGATGCTCTAACCACAGAGCCAAACCAGCCAGGGCTCAGAACTTCTTAACTGACATTTCTTCCATTTTTTCCCCCAGCCAAATGATTGATTTCTGTGGGAAGTAGGTTCTGTACGTTCTTTGAGGAAAGGCGCTCTGTGACTGCAGAATGATAAGCAGGATTTCAAGTGCATCAGTGAGCCTCTGCGGCCTCATCCCCTGTGATTAAGACATTCCTCTTGGTTGGAAGTTGAATGGTTTGAATGCCCTAAAGCAAAACAAAAAGAAAAAAGGAAGGAAAGGATAGGTATGCAATATGGTAGATGGGACTTTAGTGAGGTGAAAATCAACAACAACAACAAAAAGAAAAACAAAGCATCTGGAAGCGTTTCCTTGATCCGAACACTCATTTAGCTAAGTTCTTAAGAGGGGGAAAAATGCCATATAAATACAACTGATATTTCCCCCACACAAAAAATTGTGCATAAGTAACCTCATGTGAGTTTTTTTTTTTAAGTGTGGTTTGTGAATCAGTATTATGCTAAAAAGAAAAGGTCTTATTATTTCAGAACTCAATGAGAGCAACAGTTGAACTCTATGAAGATAGAAAAGAGGCCTACCCATCTGTTAAAACCCTTGTCACTCTGGGTAAAGAAGACTTGTCCATTAAGGTAACTGGTTTATTTGCACATATACTTTCATTGTGAGTTTATTTCATAGTATCTAGACATTGAGGGATCAGAGGGAAGGGAACAAAGCTGACATTTACTGAGTGTCATATCTGTAAGTACTGTAGTAGATCTTGGCTAAAGTGATCTCATTTAAACTTCATTAATGCTCCGTTTTTCAGGGAGCTAAACAGGGTCTTTTTTTTTTTTTTTTTTAAATCCTCACCCGAGGACATTTTTGCATCTATCTTCAGTTAGAGCGGGAGGGATAGAGGAAGGAAGAGAGAGAAACATCGATGTGAGAGACACATCCAGTGGTTGCCACCCACATGACCCCAGCTGGGGCCAGGGACAAACTGCAACCAAGGTACATGCCCTTAGTAGGACCCAAGCCCAAGTCTCTCTGGTCTGCGGGCCTACGCTGAGCTAAACCAGCCAGGGCATAAACGGGGTCTTGAACTCAAGCCTGTGGAATCCAGCAGCACTTCCCTGCCTCCTTTGTTTTATGCTGTTCACAAAGGAACCATATTTCATTGGGGGTTCAAAGCCCCTGTACGTTTGAGAGTAATCTCATATGGACTTTATTTAATAAACTTGTTGCCTCCTACTAAGTATAGAATGACTCTTTCTCCTCCTGTTCCTCCTCTTCCTCCTTCATTGCAGATCAGCGACCTAGGTGGTGGCGTCCCCCTTAGAAAAATAGATCGTCTTTTTAACTACATGTATTCAACTGCTCCTAGACCAAGCCTGGAGCCTACAAGAGCTGCGCCTCTGGTAAGCATCTTCACTGAAAGCCCGTTCGTGTGAGCAGGGCCTCCGCCGGGGCTGGGCTGAGCCTCGCTGCGCTGGAATGTTCCCCCCGTGGTTTGGAGGAAGGAGACTTTTATGCCATTGCTACTTGCTTTGTGAATCCTTTGGACTCAGATTCATTCTGTGATTTGCGTCTGAGACCCACTCAGAGCTCAGTGCCTTACTCCCAGATAGAGAGAAAAGGCGTGTCCCTGTGGTTACGAGGGCTACGGGAGCACCATTGAGCGCCCGGCGCTACCCTTGGAGGGGGTGGAGGCTGAATCGCGGGTGAGCAAAGGAACAGCGCTGCGTGTACGGCTGCAGCGTGGTCCTGGCACTTGGGCGTGCGTGCCCGAGAGGGCCAAATCGCCCCGGGCCCTGGCACTTCCCCGCCAAATTTGTGTATATAATTAAAACGTTAAATTATGAACACATTCCACTTGTATATTAAATAACATAAGCAGGAAACAGATAGGTGGCGTATGCATTTTCAGAGCCCTTTCTGCCTCACTCTGGAAATAACCTTCAGCCCTATTAAGGCAGTGAGAAAAGTCTGGTTACCATGGCAGCATGGAGATCCTGGTAGGGCCACACTTTCTTCCCCTGCTGAGTGTTTCTAATTGACAAACAACAATTGAACCCTTTGTCATTAAACACAGCAACATCTATCAGTCTGCAAAATGGTTCAGGGTATAAATTAAGCTTCATTTTCAAGTCCTACCTGACTGGTAAGCACGTAAGATTATATTTTATTTGTATGAATAAAATCTAACACTTTGCATTGTTTATTTGAGACAGAGTTTATTAACTCAGCATGTTGAAAACGGGGAGGGAGTCACTTACATTGGATTCAGGAAAATTCATGAACGATCAATTTCGAAAGGCACTGCCTTGACCAGGCTCTGGTACCTACTTTAAATACATGTCAGAAGGGGAGAAAAAAAATCACTCCAAGCAAATCTAGAGCCTCCCCCAGTTATTTAAAAGGACTATGTATCGTCTATTTAGCTGTTGTACTGATTTGTTAATGAAACAACACTTGAATTAAGAGACCTGAAAAAATATGTGTGCACACGCTCCCGTTGTATAGATGGGAAAATAAGCTTAGTGCCTTGCCCAAGGTCATTGAGCTCATGACAGCCTTGGCTATGTCTGTGTTTTTTCCGTGTACCGTACGGCCTCTCCTTGTAAATAAATGTTTCTAGTAACATCTCTTCCAGCTAGTAAACTGTCCTCGGCTTTAAAGTGGGCATGTGGACATGTACTACTAGAAAACACTTTCCTCCCCAAACACCTCACTGTATTACAGCTCTGTGCCTTGACACATGCATTTCTTTTTTTAAATATTTTATTGATTTTTTTTTTTTTTAGAAAGAGAGGAAGGGAGAGGGAGATAGAAGCATCGATGAGAGAGAACATCGATTGACCGCCTCCTGCATGCCCCCCACTGGGAATCGGGCCCACAACCTGGGTGTGTGCCCTGACTGGGAATCAAACCGGCGACCTCTTGGTGCATGGGTCGACACTCAACCACTGAGCCACACCGGCCAGGTGACACATGCATTTCTTGTTCAGAAATGTACTCGTAGCCAACTCCCATTGATCCTTTGGCACCCTGGGAAAACTTTCTTGAACCTCACCCAGTCCGAATTAAAGGGCCCGCCTCTGCATTCTGCAGAACTCTGGGCTTGCCTGTCTCCACACAGGCAGGACTGCCTTGGCCCCAAGGTCTGGGCCTTGCTGGATGGAGGAGGCCGATTTCCTCGGCCTCTTCCTGGGCTGTGCTGGTTTCTTTCTCTCTTTCTTTTTTTTTTTTTTAATCCTCATCTGAGAACATTTTTGCATTTATCTTCAGATAGAGCAGGAGGGAGGGAGAGAGAGAAGCATCGATGTGAGAGAGACACAACGACTGGCTGCCACCCACAGGACCCCAACCGGGGCTGGGGACAAACTGCAACTGAGGTATGTGCCCTTAGCGGGAACTGAACCTGGGACTCTCTGGTCCATGGGCCGACACTCTAACCGCTGAGCCAAACCGGCCAGGGCTATGCTGGTTTCTTTACCACAGTGATCTTAGTCACCACGGTGGATATTTTGTCTTCACGACTGGCCACATTCTGCCAGTCTTTTTTTTTTTTTTTTTTTTTATCCTCATTCGAGGACATTTTTCCATTTTTTGTACAGACAGAGTGGGAGGGAGAGAGAGGAAGAGAGAGAGAGGGAAACATCGATGTGAAAGGAACACATCGAGTGGCTGCCACCCGCACGACCAACCAGGGCCGGGGACACACTGCAACCGAGGTACATGCCCTTAGCAGGAACCAAACCCGGGTCTCTCCGGACCGCAGGCGGACGCTCTAACCGCTGAGCCAAACCGGCCAGGGCCTGCCAGTCTTAATGCCCTTAAATGACGGGGTGCACTCCTCTGTCACACCTGGCCCTTTGAGTTAGGTCCCACCATGGAAGAAATCTAGGAAAGATGGTAGAAATCCATGTAACTTGGTAGAATTGTGTTATGTAGTAGCCATAATAGCAATTTCCACGTAGTTAGTTTTGTTACGTTTTCTAAGGTTTTTTAAAATTATATTTTCCAATGAGAAAACAGTCTCACGGAGGTGCAGTAAATTGCTCAGAATTTCACAAAAAGTGGGTTTCAACTTAGGTGTATCTGCACCTTAAGCCCACGCAACTACCACTGTAGGGTACGTTACCCCGCCACCTCCTTCGTTAACCTTGGCAGTGGATTTAATCAGAGGGACCGAAGCTTGTGGCACAGCGTCTTCCCCTCTACCCCAGCGCAAGTGAAGTCAGTCTCAATTGTTCTTATTGTTCTTGTCCATACCCGAGACCTTTTTTGGTTTTCAACAACCTGTTACCAATCGTCAGGGTTCCGTGATGTAGAGATCTAGGTGGGTACTGGAACTCTTTTCTTGTCTCTAAAAATACACGGACAGCCATATATCCAAATCTTGTAGGATTCCCAGAACCTTAGGAAGTAGCCGCTCAGGAAATGGTTTTCTTTTCAATGCATTAGCCTTGGTACTGGTAGATTTATACACCTGTGCTATTCAATTAAGTTTTGCTTCAAAAGAGCAAGGGAGTCTGATAATGAAACTTGGGAATGATGTGGTTTAGTTTTGTTGCCAGTTCAAAGTCCACTTGATTTGGGATTTGCTTTCAAAATGTGCTTTCAAGTGCTAAGACAGCGTTGGTCAAAAATTGCAGTATTTCTATTATTTTCCAAACTTATGAGAAGTATTTTTGTAGAGTGAAAATAGATTGTTTGCCATAGATGAGCATAGATGTCATTGTAGAATCTGAATCAATCGTTTGTTTTCTTTAAACCTGAATCAAGAATTTATTTTAATCTTGAATGATCCTCATACCAAACGTGTTAGCATGTGTGCCTGTCTCACTGAATTCATTTTCTTCCCTCTGTAGGCTGGATTTGGTTATGGCTTGCCAATCTCTCGTCTGTATGCCAGATATTTCCAAGGAGATCTAAAACTGTATTCTATGGAAGGAGTGGGTACAGATGCTGTAATTTATTTGAAGGTACTGCATTTTATTTCTGTTAATATGAAGGCATCTACGCTTTAAAGCTGTAAGTTCTAATAACTACTAGATAATAGACCATAGCATCTGTCATCTCTTATATTCAGCTCAGCTCGACTTTAGTTTTATGTGAAAACCATGTTATGTCCCACTCTTGGTTTTACACTCAGATATAGCAAAATATGAAATATGGAGATACAAAGAATAAGGGCATTGATTTTTAAAACCATAATTCAAAGTTGTGATTTTCAAAAGATTGCGGATCCGTTGAGAGGATCCATCTAGAAGGCGACAGATTATCAGAAACTGGAGTCTTTTAGTCTTTTGCTTTAAAAACTTGCTGGCTTTCCCAACATTATAAGAATTCGGTAATCATAATATGGTTATTTAGAAGGCTAATCTAATAACAAAGTTCTCTGTAACACAGGTTTTCTCATTCATTGGTGGTGTTAGACTTTTATCTCTAAAATCTAGAATATTTGAAGTATTTTCTGAATAGGAATATAGGCACATACTACAACATTTTAATGCTATAAAAAGGAAAACAAGTCTCTGCCACCACTGGCCCTAAGTCACCCTGTTCTGTTTCTCAGATGTAACCACAGGTACCAGTTTCTTGTGGATCTTCCTAGAAAAATCTAATTTTTTTTCACACAAATGATTTCAGCATTTAGCTTTTTTTTTACTTTCCAGTATAGCACGGAGATCTTTCCATATCGGTTAATGGCTGCATAGTGTGTTATATGTTATAATATTAATCCTCACACGAGGACATTTTTCTGTCTTTGTTCCATTAGAGTAGGAGGGAGAGAGAGGGCAGGAAGAGGGGGACGGGGGGAGAGAGAGAGAAACATTGATGTGAGAGAGACACATCAACTGGTTGCCTCCCACACGACCCTGACCAGGGCTGGGGACAAACCGCAACCGAGGTACATGCCCTTGACCGGAATTGAACTCATGACTCATCCGTCTGTGGGTTGATACTCTACCGCTGAGCCAAACCGGCCAGGGCGCATGTAGTAGTACATCATACCATAACTTAACCAGTTATTTGGAGTATTAATCTTAGATGCCAGTATATTTGAATGGCATGATATTTGATAACACTTTATGGGTTTATGCTTATAAATCTAGTATGTATGAAAATTTTTTTTCCCGGGCACTTTGGGAGAACAGTTGCCCAGTGAACAATGGTGCTTGGTCTAAGACCCCCTAGTCAAAAGTATCTCAAAGCAGTATTAGCTAGATTCACATGCTTTTTTTGCTCTGGTTATGTGTGCATCAGTACTGGCTTTGAATGAGTGCATGTTTTTTATTCCTTTCTAAAAGCTTCCATTTTGTCTAGCCAGTCTAAGTAACTGACTAAAATAGTATAATTTTTTTTTTTTTTTTTTTTATCCTCACCCGAGGATATTTTTCCATTTTTTGTACAGATAGAGTGGGAGGGAGAGAGAGGAAGGGGGAGAGAGAGAGAAACATCGACGTGAAGGGACACATCGAGTGGCTGCCACCCGCACGACCAACCAGGGCCGGGGACAAACTGCAACCGAAGTACGTGCCCTTAGCGGGAACCGAACCCGGGTCTCTCAGGACCGCAGGCCGACGCTCTAACCGCTGAGCCAAACTGGCCAGGGCTAAAATACTATAATTTTAATACAATTCAAAAAATATGTGCTAAGGTGTCTAACATTTGAAATAATAAACTTTGGATTTGTATTTCATGTGAGACAAATGACACTGTGGCCCTTTGGTGTCTGTTTTTTTCATTAGGCTCTTTCAAGTGAATCATTTGAGAGGCTTCCGGTGTTCAACAAGTCAGCGTGGCGTCATTACAAGACCACGCCTGAAGCCGATGACTGGAGCAATCCCAGCAGAGAGCCCAGGGACGCTTCAAAATACAAGGCAAAACAGTAATAGTTGACTTCGCTTTCTACTCTGCAGTAGCTGATTTTCCCCCACATGTGCCAGTCAGACCATTGATACTTCAGCCAAGTCTTCTTTGCCTTTATCCCTGGAAAAGCAAAGTGACCCCTCAAGAAATATTGGAGCAGTTTTGTCACCCTAGACAGGAGAGAGCAAGAATTGGGTAGGCAGAGTAGCCGTTGAGATAGAGGCCCTGCTGTCCCCGGAGTTCTTGCCCTGTGGAGGTCTCAACAGCAGTGAGTGGAGTTCCCCAGCTGTGAATTATATGTAAAGTTACTGAATTGGTAGTTTATCATCATCCATAGAGCTTGACAGGAAAAAAAAAAAGTTAGAGAAAACCTGTGGGTTGAAACTGGAAAAATAAAGTTCAAATGATCGATTAAGATGAAGAAATATGGCATATCCACACAATGGAATATTACTACTCTCCCTTTGAAAGGGATGAAGTTCTGACACGCGCTATAATATGGATGAACCCGAGGTCATTGGGCTGAGGGTAATAGCCAGACCTAAAAGGACAAATACTACACGAGTCCATTTACATGAGGTACCCAGTGTAGTCAGACTCATAGGGATGGATGTTAGAATGGTAGCAGCCAGGGGAATGGGGAGTTGTTGTTTAATGGGGTGAGAGCTTCAGCTGGGAAAGATGAGAAAGTTCTGGAGATTAGTTGCACAATCATATGAATGCACTTAATACTGCTGAACTGGACACTTAAAAATAACCAATCATCCTAATATTTTGTATTCAAATTCAGCATTGCAATGTTTCTCCCTAATATAGTTTAATTGTATATATTTCTTCTTACCCTCAAAACCTTGTGTTAACATAATGCAACAGAAAGGTATTTGTGTGCAAACATAGTTTATATAGCTTTGTAGTTTTGTACCATTATAGCTTTTGGTCTTTCTGATGAATGATATAAAGGGTATCTATACTGACGTATTGTCTTTGTCTATGGACCTGTTGTGATGGACCTCTGAGCAATACTGCAGGACTGGTCACTTACCTCAAATGATGCAATTTAGAGGAGCTTGGTTTGAGCATGTGAGTGCAAACACACACGTGGGTATGAATGTGTACACACACACACCGATCCCTGGCCAAGGTTAAGCTAAATCACCTTGAAACACCTGCATCAGTTTCCCTTGATTCCACTTTCAGTCTGTATGTGAGTCAAGCAACATGTTGGGCATCAGTGTGACCAATGAATTCAAACTGTTGCTCTGATGGGGGAGCTGTTTAGGTAGTATAGAGGCAGTCCTTTTGTTGTTGTTAATCCTGACCTGAGGATATTTTTCCATTGATTTTTAGATAGAGTGGAAGGGAGGGAGAGAGAGAAACATTAATGTGGGAGAGACACATCAATTGGTTGCTTCCCACACAACCCCGACTGGGGCCAGGATCGAACCTGCAACCCAGGTACGTGCCCTTGACCAGAATTGAAGCCATGACCCTTTAGTCCATAGGCTAACACTCTAACCACTGGGCCAAACTGGCCAGGGCCAGAAGCAGTCTTTATAAATAATAACATCCATTTGAATTGTAAAAGGATGGCTCTAATTGATTATTGTTTTAAAGGCAATTTTAAAACTCTAAGTAGTTTATCAGGTTGTGTAGTAATTAAGTATGAGTCTTCATTTCTCATGTGTTATTAGACATATTTTAGCCAAAGGCAATTTTTAAAATTCTAAAATAGTTAGCTTGACTATTATAATTGTTAAATTATACAAGTAGGATAATTGGTGGTGATCTTGGGAAAGTAGTAGGTATGGTAAATTCACTAGGTGAATGAGAAATTCTAAGAAAAATTTTTTTCTAATCAGATTTTTTTTTTTTTCCCCCATCCTCACCCGAGGACATTTTTCCACTTTTTGTTCAGATAGAGCGGGAGGGAGAGAGAGGAAGAGAGAGAGAGAGAAACATCGATGTGAAGGGACACATCGAGTGGCTGCCACCCGCACGACCAACCAGGGCCGGGGAAAACTGCAACCGAGGTACGTGCCCTTAGCGGGAACCGAACCCGGGTCTCTCTGTACCGCAGGCCGACGCTCCAACCGCTGAACCAAAATGGCCAGGGCTAATCAGATTTTTTAAAATACTTTTTATTGTCCGGCCGGTGTGGCTCAGTGGTTGAGTGTCGACCCATGCACCAAGAGGTTGCCTGTTTGATTCCCAGCCAGGACATGTGCCCAGGTTGTGGCCCCAATCCCCAGTGGGGGGCATGCAGGAGGCGGCCAGTCGATGTTCTCTCTCATTGATGTTTCTATCTGTCTCTCCCTCTCCCTTCCTCTCTCTCTAAAATAAAAAAAAAAAAGGAAAAACATTTTTTAAAATATTTTTTTATTGATTTCACAGAGAGGAAGGGAGAGGGAGAGAGAAATAGAAACATCAATGAGAAGCATTGATCGCCTGCCTCCTGTGCATGCTCCCAACTGGAGATTGAGCCCAAAATCTGGACACGTGCCCTGAAGGGGAATTGAACCAGCGACCTCCTGGTGCATGAGATGACGCTCAACCAACTAAGCCACACTGGCCAGGGCTCTAATCAGATTTTTAACAACAGTTTCATTGAGATATAATTCATACACCATGAAACTCACCATTTTAAAGTGTGCAATTCAGTAGTATTTAGTATATTCACAGAGTCGTGTGACCCTCACCAGCATCTAATTTTAGAACATTTTCATCACCTTCCAAAAAAAAACCCCTGGCCCTGGCCAGTTTGGCTCAGCGGTTAGAGCGTCGGCCTGCGGTCTGGAGAGACCCGGGTTCGGTTCCCGCTAAGGGCACGTACTTCGGTTGCAGTTTGTCCCCGGCCCTGGTTGGTCGTGCGGGTGGCAGCCACTCGATGTGTCCCTTCACGTCGATGTTTCTCTCTCTCTCTCTCTCTCTCTCTCTCTCTCTCTCTCTCTCTCTCCCTCCCCCTCTATCTGTACAAAAAATGGAAAAATATCCTCGGGTGAGGATAAAAAAAACAATAAACAAACAAAACCCTGTAGTTGTTAGCAGTCATGCCTCATTTCTCATCAGGTTTTTGACTAAGAGTAAAAAACTGTGTTAAAGTATCTAGTGGTAATTAAAGAGTAATTCATTTTCTGTAGTAACCATAGAGAATAATTCCGAGATAAGGCAAGGGTTTTTGAATGATCACTATAACTATAAATACTTTGAGTAAGTCTTGGTTAAGAGAGAGAAGGTTATACTCAAACTCACTATGGCTATCCTCATTATTTTCTTTATAGAGACAAGATCAAGACTAATAGAACTTTCTAGAGAACTGAATGCTTTGGTCCTCTCTGTGAAGAAAGATCATCTTGCGCAAGTCAACCTCTGAGCTCCTTTCCTCTACCAACTCTGAGTGCGACGCCGACACCACAGTTCCTCCAGTGCTGGACCTTTCCCAGAGAAACGTTCATGTAGCTACTTCAGCTCTTCCCACCAAAGTAGTAAATCGAGTAATTTTTCATCGTATGTTGTGATTTGCTTGGTGCCTGTCGTAAGAGAGCACGCAGCCTCACGGGCACCCTCGTTTCCTCACACATTTATCCTCATTATCGTAGCGTTGAGTGTCTCCAGTGTCCCCAGGGTTCCAAGCTCTCTCCCCATTCCAGACACAGCAGGTCTCTACTGTTGCACTTTGTGACCAAATACCATGTTTGTCCCAAGCCACCGACTCAGGCCTGGGGAGCCTGGAACTGAAGACATCAGTGGAACACATCTCGCTAATTCAGTCCCAGAGCCCTTCCTCTGTCACATGCGCCCCTCCCTCCACACCCTCTGACCGAGAGTTTTGCCTTCTGCCATCTGATCTTATTCTCATCGTGAGGTGTGTGTACTTTCACGCTAGTCTTCAAAGCATCGGCTTGATTTGAAAACTCACGTGTGTACTTCTATTCTGTCCATTAAACCGTTCCAAAAGTTGTCTTGGAATTTTTCACTTAACTGCTTGGTTTCAAAGATCTTAAGTGAAAAACTACCTTCTGGTCACCGTCGAGTTTGTAAAGAGTGGGAAGTGGAGCTTTTTTGCTTATGTACACGTTGTGCTAATCTAATACTGTACCTCTGCCATATTATATTCCTTTGTAGTTTTCCAAAGAAGTGGAGGTCCTCGTGGGATCTACTTCACTGGTTGTAAAATAGACTATCGAAGGGAAAAGTTCTAGTTTGTTTTGGAAAATGCCCTTGGTCTTCAGAATGTGCATTTTCATGAACTTTAGCCAGTTTTAGAATGGCCCCGCTGGTTTTCCCAGTCCTTTGCTTTTTGTTGAAAGTTGGAAAAAGAAGCCGTGATTGTTTACCCATAGAAATGGGTCCCAGTTACAACCCACCACGTACATAACTCCACCGGCTGTGTGTCTTTCATTCCATCGTCTGGTAGTTCCCGTCATCTTCAGAAAGATCTCGCTCACCTCTTCCATCCTTAGAAGGATCTCATCAGAGAACTTATGATCAGTCAGGTAAAAGAAAGGCCAGTGTACTTTTAAGGCGGGTGACAAGATGATCCTAATGAAGGCCGAGTCTTGGGGACGGGGCTTTTCCATAGGATTATTTCCTTATGTGAAAAATGTACAAATAGTGGTTCATTACATTAAAAACAAAAACAAAAAAACCTGGCTTCCTTTTAAATGTTAACTAGTATATGAGCATCTTACTAGGCCCTCATTTCCATACTCGTTTACACTTTCAAGAATAGTCCACTGTAGGGGAAGGAGGCACCAGATTCTGCAGGCGTTCCCTTCTGCCTTGTTCTGTGTCACTGCCCTGGAGGAAGGCCCGCTGATCGGTGCACCCTTACAACGAGCTCCATGCAGACAGGAAATAGGTGTAGGAAAATCCTCTCACGTCCTCTCTTTACAGATCTTTATCAAAAGTGAAGATTTCTTTCAGTGTTTTAGGGACTTAATCGGTAGTCCATTCCTGCTTTCTGGTTTACTCATATCCATCTGACCCCAGGACAATCTTGCCTCCTGTTTTTTTCCTGCATTAAGAATTTCACTTTGCTCCCAAAGTAACCGTAAGAAGACTTTCAGGAACATTTGGCATTTTCACAGTTTAGTGGCCCCGAAAATTTATCATTTTTGTTGGCTGTGCATGGCTCTTTGGACTTAGGTGCATCCCTCTGACTGTTCGATGGGTTTGTCTCTAAGCAAATGGTCAAATGTCTTGTAATGTAAATAGACATTGCCGCCCTTTCTGTGAAATTCATTGAGTTCCCCCAATTGATCTGTTTGCCTTTCATTGATTTGATTTGATTTTAAGTGTTTGGAGACTGTGTCTACTATTTGGAACAGTGCCTGGCACATAGTAAGTGCTTCATAGATGTTAGCTGAATGAAGGAATGAAAATTGAGAGACATTTACCTTGGGAGGAGGGCAACATCTTTATAAAATCTTTTATTTTTATTTTTTTTCTTTATTGATTTTTAGAGAGACAGGAAGGGGGAGAGAGAAAGAAACATCGATGAGAGAGAACATCAGTTGGCCACCTCCTGCATGCCCCCCACTGGGATTGGGTCCACAACCTGGGCATGTGCCCTGACCAGGAATCAAATCGGTGACCTCTTGGTGCAAGGGTCGACGCTCAACCACTGAGCCACACCAGCTGGGCCTAAATTCTAAAACCATGTTTGTTTCAAATTAAAAATCATTTCAGTCGGGAGCTGTGGAGGTACTGAATTTCCTTTTTATAGTGCTAAGTAGTGACTTTCAAATGTAGAGAAATGAAAGAAAAGAAGTAGGGACGGACCCACAGAAGGCTTCTGATGCTTTCTTTGCCTCCGAATATTCATTCTGACTCCTTGATACAGTGGGTTCTTTCTGTCCAACCAAACAGCATGATTTTATAACCTTGCCTGCAGATTCCAGAGAACTTTCACATACAGCATCCCCTGATCCTTACCATGCTGGGAGCTGGACCATGCGGCAGTACAGTCGTCCCTCGTTTATCATGGCTAATCCATTCCCATTCCAGACTATCGGTTGTACCTTGTATTGAAGGATTCCTGGGGTGCTCGAATACATAGGCCTACAGTCCATACGTACAGTGATTTTAATTTTAATTGTAATACAGGGGCGTATAATTGACTCAGTCAACCGAGTGCACACTGTATCATTTTCACTGTCTCGATCAACTTTTTAATGAATATATTTGAAAAAACCGCAATAGAGTGAAGCCACAAAAGTTGAAGCACGAAGTGGCGAGGGACGACTGTATCTCTGTTTTCCACGAGTCCCAAAGCAGCACAGTGTTAGCCACGGTGGCATGGAAAGTGAAGGGAAGAACCAAAGTGGGTAGTCGGTCTTGGTCTTATTCCTAGGCCTGTACTCTGTGCACCAAGTAGTTGGCATTATCTCTTTTGAGAAATTTCTTAGGTGTATCAGCCCTCAAGGATAAGATATAAACCACCGTTTTTCTACAGTGCAAGAGAATTCCTGTTCAGGAGAGGTTTTCTTTTGTGTGTTTTCATTTTGGCATAGTGAGCTACAGGAGATGACCAAATGGATTTGGCATCTTTTACCTAGGATGACAGGCAACTTAAAGTGTAGAGTGGTAGGTAATTACTAGAGTTGTTTAGATTTAATTTTATGTTTGAATGAATTCAGTGCTTACTGCCGGCCCTTCATACAAAGACTCCTCATTCAAGAGTTGATGCTTTTAGCTTTTGGTGGACTTGGCGGCAGCTTCATTTAGGTTTTCTTGCGTATGTATACACATGTGTCCCGCTATTGCTGTTCCTTACGCTCGGTAACTTGGCTCTCAGATTCTAGGGTCACATCCTTAGTTCCTCGATTTCTTTGGACACCTCACTTCATTGTCTTTTAGTGTCTCGTGGTGCTGAGAGGGCTGAGTCCAGACAGATCTTTCTTCCCCTTTGGCAGATGACCAGCTTGTTTGCCCTGGGTACTTGTGATTCCTTATTTATCCTTGAATTCAGTAACTTCATGTGAGTGTATCCCCGAGTTGACAGTTATCTGTTGGCTTTTTCTGGTTCTCAATGAGCATCAGATGTTGACATTTGGACCTTACTGCATTTCTTACTGGTTTATTTGTTCTCTTCAACAATTTGTACCAGTATCGGCTCTCTGCTGTCTGTCCTTCGCATTGATCTTTCCTTCCATTGCTGTCATCTCTGTCTTTCTTCCTGCAGTGTGGTTGTTTCTCATGGACTCTGGTTTCCGTGGTGTTGATTCTAGGCCTTGATGCTTGCACTGTGCCTTTCACTTCTGTCCCTATTTTTTGTTTTATTTTACTTTAAAAAAATATTTTTTTCTTTATTGATTTGAGAGAGAGAGGAAGGGAAAGAGAGAGACAGAAAAAATATCCATGTGAGAGAGATACATCGATCAGCTGCCTCCTGCGCCCCCCCCCCCCCCCCACACTGGGGATGGAGCCTGCAACCTGGGCATGTGCCCTGACTGGGAATTGAACCGGGACCCCTCAGTCCATGGGACGATGCTCAATCCACTGAGCCACACGGGCTGGGCCCGATTTTATTTTTTATCTGGTTCTTGCCTTAGCTCTGCCAGCTTTTTTCTCTCATCATGTCCTCTTTGGCTTCATATTTCGTTTGTTTAGAGGCTGAGCTGTGTTGTCTCCATTTTTTGTGCTTTCTGAAATCATTCTGTTTCCAGAGGGTATTTATCTGTCTTTTGTTTCTTTCATTCCTTTTCTTCCATGATGATTTTTTTATTGTTGCACAAGTATCATGATGCCTTTTTCTGCTTATTATTTTTCACTGCATGGGACCAGTTCTGTCTGCCCAAGAAGAACGTGGATAAATCCTCCTTGGCTCCTTTCTCAAGGAAGGGGTCTGAATGGTCACCTTAGCACCTGAACTGTAAGGCTAGATTTTGGTGGGTTCTAATGGTGAGGCTGGTTTGGTTTTCATTCTACTGTCTAGATATGGGGCAATAGGGAATGAAGCAAAGCCTCCTTGGGCCATGTTGTGAGTGAGTGACTTCTGTGGACATTGTGAGATCTTCCTCCCGGGGTGGCCACGTCCGTTTGGGAGAGAGGGATTCCCCTTGACTGTACCCATTTCCACCAGATGTTGTGCTAGCAGGAGTGTGGTGGATTCATACTTAAGTTCTGCTGTAGTATATGTACAGTGGGTCCTTTGAGCTTTAGATAGAGTGGACGGGAGTGAGGGAGACAAAGATCAATGTGAGAGAGACACATCAGTTGGTTGCCTCCTACAGCGGGTCCTTGAATAACTTCATTATAACGTTGATGAGATGCCATAGGAACCTCACTCTTGTTTACGTCAGTTAGGCTATGGTAAAACTGGTTTTGTTATATGTCATTTCACTTAAAGTCAAAGACCCTATCAATGACGTTAAGTGAGCACTTACTATGGCCAGCATTTGTGATTGGCTCCTGTGTTACTGTTTCTGTCCACTGCACACAAATGGTGCACCTGAGATCTCAACCTCCCCTCTTAGGTTTTCTTCTGGGTATGTGCCCATGTAGTATGCACTCAGCTTCTCCTGCCTGCCTCCAGTCCTGTTTCTCCAAGTTAAGAAATGATGGTAGAGAGGCCTTTGGAGCGCTCTCATGAACAGCCCAGCAACTGTGGCTTGCTTGACAAATTCGAGAATCTTCCTGTGATGAGTCCCCAACTTCATTGGATCTGTTAGACACTCCCCTGGAGTCTTTTGTATGTGGTGGTAGCTTTTATTAGTTTCATTACAGACAGCTTTTTCAGGTTTTTACTTTATTTTTTTCTTTATTGATTTTAGAGCGAGAGGAAGGGAGAGGGAGAGAGAGATAGAAACATCGAGGAGAGAGAACATCAGTTAGCCTCCTCCTACATGCCCCTTACCCTGGGTACGTGTCCTGACCGGGAATCAAACTGGTGACCTCTTGGTACGTGGGTCAACGCTCAACCACTGAGCCATACTGGCTGGACTTCAGGTTTTGATTGTATGTATTGAAGGGCAGGAGCACTTAGATAAACATGTTTTAATTCTGCCATCTTTCCCAGGGGCCCGGGTGCTTAAACATTAACTTTGAAGATAATCCCCTTCATAATCAGAATCTATGTTAGTCAATAGAAGG